TATGCAGAAGGAGCATCACAATCAGCTTCATGGCTACCTGTGAAATAGATATTTGTTTATACAAGGGGTGCAAGATTGGCTTGGGGACTGGGCCCACAATCGGCATCACATTTTTACTCCAAGGGGTGCAAGATTGGCTCGGGGTCGGTGGTTGACACGGGATGGAATTTCGTTGATGTTCGCAGCCAGGCCCCCAAATCGGCCTGATTCATCAGACTTGCCTCCCATCCCTTGGTATGGCCATCAGACTCGCCTCTGAAAAAAGGTATGAAAAATCAGAGTAGCAATAGTTTTTTTGTATGATCAATCAGAGTCACTAATTTGTTTTACGCTAAAATTGCAGTACACCACGCGTCAATAAATGTCCTGCAAATCCCCCTAATGCTTGCCTACCGAACTCCTTCCCTTTCCTAGTGCCCCCTTACTGTCAACTAGAAAGAATAATGATACAAGTGAACAAGGGAAGATATATGTGTTAACGTAGAAACGAATGATTACTAGAGGTGGAAACCTAGAACAAATACTAGTTGGTTGTACTCACTAGAAGCATACCTCAGTCTAGCCTATAACTTCTACATAGATAATATGTATAAGTTGACACACCCCCTAGGCTAGACAAGGGGTGAAACTAAACAAGAAGCAAACAGCTCAGGGCGGCACTACTAGTCCAACCACTGAGGCAGGGGTCTGGAGACCAGTCAGCAAGAATACAACCAAAACTGAAGCAAGCCAGGGTGGCACTACTAGTCCAGCCACTGGAGGTAAGGCCACAAGGCCAGTCTGACAAGCATATATAATAGAGAGTACACAATCAGGATCCTAACAGGGGAGCAGCTACAGGAACAAGACCAAGCTGTACACAGTGCCGCTGATGATCTTTAGGCGCAAGCGCCTTAGTAAAGATATCAGCTGTGTTGGCACCTGAGGCCAAGTGAACTACGCGGGCCTGGCGGCGCTGCTGTAGCTCGCGCAGGAGGAAGTACCGCAGCTGGATATGCTTCGCTCTGCCCTCAAGCCGAGGCTCCTGACACAGGAGTATCATGGCCCTGTTGTCAGCGTACAGGACCGGGGCAGAGCTAGGCCGCTCACCTAAGTCTGTGAGCAAGAAGGTCAGCCAGCGGAGCTCCTGTGCCGCCATGGCACCAGCGTAGATCTCAGCCTCACAGCTAGACTGAGCCACAGACGACGAGCGAGTGGATCTCCAAGAGATAGCACCCGAACCAAGGCTGAAACAGTAGCCCTGCGACGACCTGAGCGTCTCAGCGTCGTCTGCCCAAGAAGCGTCTGTGTGCCCAGTAAGGACCACTGGCCTGCGTCCTCCTAGCACTAACCCCATGCCTGATGTACTAGCAAGATAACGCAAAACCCTCTTAGCGGCAGACCAGTGCTGAGGTCGGTGTCTGCCTGTAGCCACAAAGCGAGCCAGGATGCTGAGAGGGTATGCGAGATCTGGGCGAGTGCAAGTCATCAGGTACATGAGGCAACCCACCAGCTCTGCGTAGGGGCCACTGGGCTCTACTGGCTCCTCAGGAACGGGAGCAGAGAGCCCATGGTCTACGGGTAGAGGTGTGGGCTGTGCGGAGGAGAACTGAAGACCGAACCTCTGAAGGACCTGACGCACCAAGTGTGACTGGGTCAGAGTGATGGTGCGTGCTGCTCTGTCCCTAGAGATCTGCAGGCCAAGATAGCGACGCAGCTCTCCAAGGTCAGTGCAGGTGTGTCTCTTCAGCAGCTCAGCCTTCACAGAGGCCAGTGCGTCCCTGTCAGGAGTAGCGAAGACCAGGTCGTCTACGTAGACAAGGATGTAGAACGGAGTCTGGCCGGAACGCACAAACAGTGAAGGGTCAGCAGAGGACGGAAAGAACTGCAGGTCTGCTAACGTGGCACGTAGCGTGTCGTGCCACTCGCGGGGAGCCTGACGCAGGCCGTAGACCGGGCGCCTGAGAAGCCACTGGGTCCCAGGAGGGAAGGTACCAGTGAAGCCCTGTGGTCGGCGCAGGTAGACCTGCTCGTGTAGGCTGCCCTGAAGAAAGGCAGTAGAGAAGTCGAGGGAGTGAAGCTCGTAGTCACGCTGTGCTGCTACGTGTAGCAGCGCCCGAAGAGTGGTCATCTTCGGGGTCGGGGCGAAGGTCTGGAAGAAGTCAACCCCCTCGCGCTGACTGAAACCTCTGGCCACGTAGCGCGCCTTGAAGACAGGCGGCTCTCCAGGGGGGCGCTTCACCTTGAAGAGCCACCGACCATCGACTACGTTCACCCCCAGGTGGGGGAACTGCGTCGACGTAAGTGCCGGTGGATCTCCAAGATGCCATCTCCTGCTCCATGGCAGCTATCCACTGAGAGGCCCAAGGTCCCGAGGTGGCCTCAGCGTAGGTGCGAGGGGTCGGGATGTCGAAGGCGTCTGGGTCACCCTCAGGGACTAACAGCATGGAGCAGAGATGGGGAGCAGCCTCGGAAAGGAAAGCCAGCTCGTACTGCCTGTCCTCTAGGACGTCACTGCCAAGGGCAGGAGCACCCCCGACGGACAGAGGACGGGCAGGGTCAGAGACCAGAGCGGTAGCGTAGTCAAGGCGGCGGGTAGAAGCGAAGTCAGCGACAGCAGCGACAAGCGCGTCAAGGCGCGAGACAGGAACAGCAGGGTCGGTAACAAGAGAGGCAAGGACCCGAGGGACAAGGGGACGAGCAGCACGGAGGTAGTCAGAGAACGGAGGAGGTGCAACAGCAAGGGACGAGGGAGGAGGGGACGGGAGGAGGGGAGGACGAGACGAGTGGGAACGGAGCAACATAGGGTGGGTGGGCAGGACAGGAGAGACGGGACGAGCACGGGAGGGATGGCGAGCCCAAACGTGAGACGGAGGGGTAGGGTCAGGGAACAGCGGAGGAGACACAGGAGGGGAACGAGGAGGAAGACGGGCCGGAGACGAGTCTGGCGGCGGGAACACAGGACCGTAGACAGGGAGGTCAGGAGGCGGTGGGGGAGACACCGGCGCGCGGTCCGGGGAGGGAAGGCCGAGCAGGCGGAGAGCGGAAACCGGCGGCGACGGCTGCTGCGGCGGCGACGACGGCTGGGCCGGAACTCTCGGACCAGCAGAGGCAGAACGACCGTCGGCAGAACACTCAACAG